TTTATTTGAGTATAATTCTAAATTCATTCGGCAATTTTTGGCTTAATCGCATAAAGCCCTTTTCGATTCGTTTGGATCCGTTTCTTGGTATTTTGCCCGAGCCTTGGAACTATATTATTTCAACCTTTTGAATATAATTATTCGTACCCTTTGTGCTATTTAATTTGGCCCATTTCGAATTTATTTCCAGCCAATTTGAGATATGATATTTCGGCCCAAACTAAGTCCAAATTAGCCCATTTTGTTAGCCCAAGCAAACTACTCCATTTACCCTAATTTCTCCCTCTTTTCCATGATCATCTCCCCGCAGCTATCAACCATCTTGCTCTCTCTCACGCAAGTTCAAAGCAGAAGGAGAAACTCGCCCTTCTCTCTTTTACCGGCAATTTACCGAAGCACGCCACCACAACTTTGAACCTTGAGCAGCGACAGCGGAGCTTTTCCCAGACGCCAAGCTGCGATCTAACCTACGACGAGCCCCGACCAACTACTGTTGAGTTGCCGCGAGGTTGGAATTCGCGACAACCGACCACCATCAAAGGCCAAATCGAACATCGCCGAGAAATTTCATCTCAGCCCTTGACCCTTAGACAACGAGGAGCGAACGGCGAGGATATGCGCCGTCAACGGGCCTTCAGGCCGGGCAAGAGGCAAGATGTGGGTTGCAGTGGCAGGTCCTATGCGTTCGATTCTCGCTGGCGACTTCGAGCAGTCCACCAACGCCGGCAACGCCAAACACATATCTGTCAGCCGGCGTTTTCTTTTCTTGGTGCGAGTGAAAACGAGAAACAAAAGTGATCTTCGAGGCCGTCCTTTTCTGTGATCAACAGCCCTTTGTTCAGATGCATTTGCAGTCGTTTTTAGTAGCCGGAGTCCCGGAAGCGGCATCCCTCCAGTCAAGCCGAATAACTTCGCACCCCATTCTTCTATTTTTGAATCAGCTGTCGGCCCTCGTTCAGGCCCGAACAGCAGCAACACTCCCCGCCAAGTTCTTTTTCCGAGCAGCGGCACCTTTTGGGCCCTTGCGAGAGTTGCGGCAAATGTTCCGGGCTTTAATTGAGCAGCCAGAGACCTCGAATCAGCGGCAAATCTACTTCCTTTTAAGCGAGCAGCCCCGGGTTTGCGTGGTATAGCAGCAAGAGGAGTGAGCTATGCCGAGAGCTTTTGCTTCGTTTAGACCGAGCCTCCGTTTTAGCTTTGATTATTAAGACTCGAGAAAGGTATTCGGTTAAAGCCCCATTCCTCTGTTTTGGCCGAAAATATTTGGTTATGTGCTTGAATGATGTGCTGTAATTATACCCGGTTCAGCTGAGTTGTTTGAGGCATGTTATGTGTTTCTTTGAGCCTTATGTTTTGCCTAGTAGCTGAGTCTCTTCGGCCTTTAAATGGCTGAGTATAGGTGGTTGTATGTGTTTTAGTTCAGTTGAAATTCATGCCTATGTTGAGTGAATCTTTGCCCTGCTTTCGTTCAGCGTATATGGTAGAGACTTTTCCTTGTTCTTATGACTGAAACTATGCTTTCGAATCAGTTGTTAAAAGTTAACAGATAGCATGATTAACTTAGTGAAAAATGAGTAAGAAAATGAGGCTTATTTCATATGCAAAATTTTGGCAGAATGATGATATAGTTCACATGTATAGCTTTAGGTTATTTTAAAGCTAGAACATGATTGGTCATTAGAGTGTTTATTTTAGCTTTAAAAGCCTTATGATATGTATGAATTTGATCTCATTTGTGTGTGATTGTTTTTGAAGTTGTTGTGCATAGTACCACATGTTTATTGATCCAGAGCCTAATTTCAGAACTTTTGCTGTGTAAATTTTGAGATAAGATGGAATTAAGAAGAAGGCCTGAATGCATGTGTATGTATAGTTGTTTATCCATGAGTGAATGCTTTATTTGTTAAGCCTATCGTGTTCTTATGTGTTGTTTATTATGAATATTTGGTGACTTAGTCTATTAGTTAAAGTCAGATTTAGGCCAAGTTGAAATGAGAGCATGATTTTTGGAGTTCTTGTTATAGCTTGTCCTTGTTGAGTTGATGACATCATGCTAATTATGTTAGTTTCAAAAGTTAGTAGATTATGTGCTTTTATCTAATTGTTTTGATTGATTATTGTACCCTGATCTGCTATGCGTGCCGTGCGCGATTTAATTGTGTGCTTTGTGTGTTCCACTTATTTGTGTGGCTTAATTAATCTCAATCAAAACAAATAAAAATAATTATACCCTAATTTGTAGATTAAGAGGAGTCGAGTGCTTGCCCTTGTTTGTGCGTGCATTCAGCGTCGTCCTCTGCAGTACCAGTTGGGTTTTGGAAAATTGGCTATGCTGTAAATTTTAATATTGTTATTATTGTTTTACTTGTAGTATGATCAAAGTATGCATGTGGAACATGTAGCCTTCGATGGGAGCTGTAACGGCCATCGAATGGTTATTCCCGTAACTATAGAACGACCACAATGGGGGTAATCTCCTCTTTATGTGCTTGTGAAGGACGCGTCGCTTGAGACCAGGGTTGTGCTCGATCAGCGATAAGTACCCCGATGTAAGTCCGATGGCGAGGCCGGCCTTCGGGGGAGACTCCTACTGGCTGCAAAATCGTTGTAAGACCAGAAGGCCGAGGGCCGTGGCTTTTGATATATTGATATAGGTGTGCACATGAGAACGAACATGGGATAGGAGGTTGGGATAACTAATTAATTACGTATACATGCTGTGACCATACTTGTTTTATTTATGATTAATATTTACTGCATAGTGGAGCACTAGTGTTTCCTTTTGTGCTCATCCCCACATGCTCTTCATGGATGCAGGTTAGTACTGCGGGCACGACAGAGGAGGCGAGTGGTGGTCATGTTATTGGTTTTATTTCCGCTGCTATGAACTGCTTAGTATTGTTTACTGCATTTCTGGATTTATGATGATTACCAGATTATTGATAGGGAGTGTACTCCCTAGTATTTATGCATTTGTGAAAACCCAGTTTTTGGGAGATTAATGTTATTGTTGAAATCGGTTTGGGTGTTGATTCAATTTATGAGCCCGTTTGGAAGTTATGTTTATGATGTTATGGAAAATAGTTTTTCAATTAGTAGCGCCGCCAAGTATTTCGAAATAAATTTTGAAAAATTTATTTTGATTTCGTTAAATAAAAGTGGGGTGTTACAGCTTGGTATCATAGCCAGTCTGCGTTTCTGTAGACTGGTTAATGTGAATTATGAGATTATGTGCTTTGACCTTAAGTTATGACCACTCGCTCTCGTCGTGCCACGCCAGATCAGGTATGACTAGCTGAAAGATTTTGAGATTATTGTGCATTGTTTGAATATTGATTATTGAAGTGAAATCGGCTTAGGAATTTATCCTCCTGCTTTCAAACATTCTTGAACTCTAGACGATTGGTGGACTTAGTTGTATGAACTTGAACTCTATTGGTATAGAGTTATGTTCTTCCTTTAGAAGTATTGGTTGAGAATTTCGATACAATGACTGAATCTTTCCCCGTTTAAATTCGTTCATTCTTTTCATTGGTGGGATTTGAAAATCCTTTGGTCGGGTATATATTGATTCGTATACTCGTTCTATGCGTTGGTTGTTTTTCTTGAATTCGTCGTGGATATCCGGGAATAGCTTGAACTGATGACGGAGGCCGTGAATCGTGGATTCATGGATGCGGGACAGTCTTGTTTCATTATTGAATTCTTGTCTTCTTGTAGACTTTTTGCAACCTTTGCATATTCCCTATTTGTATGGCAAGTGATTTTGTATTGTACTTGAGGCTTCTATATGTTATTCAATTTTTGTACCTTGAGAATTCCGCGTGAACTCTTCTTTCTGGCGTGGAACTTCAGATGGAGTGAATGACGCATGTCAAGGAATGTTTTCTTCTACCTTAAAAGGTTAAGCATAAATCTTTTAAAGAGGATAGTCGAGTCCGTAACAAACACATCGTGGAGTGCAGAGCCACCTTCACTTTTGATGTTCATTCATTGTAGCTTTAGTAGCTCATTTAAGACTGCCAGCCCGGTTAGCTGCTTGAATCGAGCTGACGTGACGACCGACAGTGTTAGTCGGAAGAGTCTAATGACCTAAACGTTCATTAATCGGTAATGACCACTGGGATTGGGATTGTTCCTAGCTGAGGAACTGATCCTCATTTCTTTTGAAAAGTTTTTCCCGACCCCCATAGCGTAGGTTGTTCAAGGGTTATTGTTTTGTTTTGATTAGTGAAGGAAGTGGACTTGGAACTCGAACGTGCCCTTGCGATATTTGAGACTTTTGAAACCTTTGAAATTGTGAAACGACTGAAATATATATATTGGGCCCAAAAATCTCGTTAGTTAGTAAAAACCATTTCTTTTGGTGATCTGAGATTGAAACCTTCTTGTGAAACCTTGAACCGAAAGCCGACCCTGGCTGGTGTAGTCACGCGAAGTGGAGGCCGAGCACGCACGACCATGCTGAGAGACGAGAGGCTTGCGCGCGGCTGACCGTTGACTCGCATGTAAACTGCAGCAGCCATCACCGTACGCACGAACTCCTCAAGCCAGCGTGAACGGCCAAACATCGAAGTTTTTCCTGAACTGCTGAAACCGTTTCATGCTGGAATACTTGGTTATCTTTTGAACCCCTTCGTCCGAACATTGAACCGAGAGCTCCAAGTCCCACTAAATGTGTGTAAATCCTTAATCGATGATTTCGGATTGAGGAGTGTAGTAATGAGTCCCTATGCCTTATTCTAGAGTTTCTCGAGTGGGCAAATTGGGAATGCCGTATTGTTATTAGTCAATCCTTATGTTTGCACATAAGGGCTGCGTTCGACTCGTGGAGTCAATATCGTGTGGGTATGAACATCTGGGTGTGCTGTATACCGTTTCAGAGTCTCTGATGGAGACACTCGGTCCTTGATAAAATCGTGAACAAGTTATTAGTATGACTCAGACACGAGACTGAAACTTGGCGTCACGGGTCCACCATGTTGGCGAGGTAGACGGAGTACGCTGGCAATACACCGAATGACCTATTGAGGTATTGTGTGTTGTTAGGTATGAAATTAATTGTTGATACTCATAGGTATAGGCGAAGCCGAACTGGGTCCTTGCAAGAGAATGTGCGCCTGAGCTCGGGCAGGATTGATCACCCTCCCATGCAATCAGGTAAACATATGAGCATAAGGCGAGTCGAATTGGGTCATGTATGTGAGTGTATGCCTGTCGAGTATAGGGCGACAGGACTCATGCGAGCAGAGTCAAGTTTCGGAGGGGATACCCGGATCTCATGATTGGCAATTCCCGTTGGGTCGGTCGTTTTTTCCCTTTGGATGCGTGTTCTTAGTATTTCCGAGGACGGAAATCTTTTAAGGAGGATAGAATGTAATGCCCTGTTCGTTTATTAGAATTTATGGATTTTTACGTTATTAATTATTTACTTATATTAATTATTTGCCTTTGCTCTATTTATTTGCATGTTAACTTATTAACTGCTCATCTCTTTTATCTGCTTATTTATTTGACTGCTATGTAGCTTTATATATGTGATTATTATGTGTTTATTTATTTTTTTATATGTATTAGAATTATTATGATTTATTTGAGTAGAATTTTAAATTCATGCGGCAATTTTCGGCTTAATCACGTAAAGCCCTTTTCGATCCGTTTGGATCCGTTTCTTTGGTATTTTGCCCGATCCTTGGAATTATATTATTTCGACCTTTTGAATATAACTTTTCGGACCCTTTGTGCTATTTAATTTGGCCCATTTCGAATTTATTTCCAGCCAATTTGAGATATGATATTTCGGCCCAAACTAAGTCCAAATTAGCCCATTTTGTTAGCCCAAGCAAACTATTACATTTACCCTAATTTCTCCCTCTTTTTCACGATCATCTCCCCGCAGCTATCAACCATCTTGCTCTCTCTCACGCAAGTTCAAAGCAGAAGGAGAAAATCGCCCTTCTCTCTTTGACTGGTAATTTACCGAAGCACGCTACCACAAATTCGAACCTTGAGCAGCGGCGGTGGAGCTTTTCCCAGACGCCGAGCTGCGATCTAACCTACGACGAGCCCCGACCAACTGCTGTTGAGCTGCCGCGAGGCTGGAATTCGCGACACCCGACCACCATCGAACGCCAAATCGAACATCACCGAGAAATTTCATCTCAGCCCTTGACCCTCAGACAACGAGGAGCGAACGACGAGGATATACGTCGTCCACGGGCCTTCAAGCCGGACAAGAGGCAAGCAATGGGTTGCAGTGGCAGGTACTACGTGTTCGATTCCCGCTGGCGACTTCGACCAGTCCACCGCCGCCGGCAACGCCAAACACATATCGGTCAGCCGGTGTTTTCTTTTCTTGGTGCGAGTGAAAACGAGAAACAAAAGCGGTCTTCAAGGTCGTCCTTTTCTGTGAGCAGCAGCCCTTTGTTCAGATGCTTTTGCAGTTGTTTGTAGTAGCCGGAGTCCCGGCAGTGGCCCTTCCAGTCAAGCTGAATAACTTCGCACCCCTTATGTGCTGTAATTGTACCCGATTCGGCTGAGTTGTTTGAGGCATGTTATGTGTTTCTTTGAGCCTTATGTTTTGCCTAGTAGCTGAGCCTCTTCTGCCTTTAAATGGCTGAGTATAGGTGGTTGTATGTGTTTTAGTTCAGTTGAAATTAATGCCTACGTTGAGTGAATCTATGCCCTGCTTTCGTTCAGCGTATGTGGCAGAGACTTTTCCTTGTTCTTATGACTGAAACTATTCTTTCGAATCAGTTGTTAAAAGTTAACAGATAGCATGCTTAACTTTGTGAAAAATGAGTAAGAAAATGAGGCTTGTTACATATGCAAATTTTTGGCAGAATGATGATATAGTTCACATGTATAGCTTTAGGTTATTTTAAAGCTAGAACATGATTGGTTATTAGAGTGCTTATTTTAGCTTTAAAAGCCTTATGATATGTAAGAATTTGATCTTATTTGCGTGTGATTGTTTTTTAAGTTGTTGTGCATAGTACCACATGTTTATTGATCCAGAGCCTAATTTCAGTTATAAAACTTTTGCTGTGTAAATTTTGAGATAAGATGGAATTAAGAGGAATGCCTGAATGCATGTGTATGTATAGTTTTTTATCCGTGAGTGAATGCTTTATTTGTTGAGCCTATCATGTTCTTATGTGTTGTTTATTATGAATATTTGGTGACTTAGTTTATTAGTTAAAGTCAGATTTAGGCCAAGTTGAAATGAGAGCATGATTTTTGGAGTTCTTGTTATAGCTTGTCCTTGTTGAGTTGATGATGACATCATGCTAATTATGTTAGTTTCACAAGTTAGTAGATTATGTGCTTTTATCTAATTGTTTTGATTGATTATTGTGCCCTAATCTGCTATGCGTGCGTGCTCGATTTAATTGTGTGCTTTGTGTGTTCCACTTATTTGTGTGGCTTAATCAACCTCAATCAAAACCAATTAAAATAATTAAACCCTAATTTGTAGATTAAGAGGAGTCGAGTGCTGGCCCTTGTTTGTGCGTGCATTCAGCGTCGTCCTCTGCAGTACCAGGTGGGTTTTGAAAAATTGGCTATGTTGTAGATGTTAATATTGTTATTATTGTTTTACTTGTAGTATGATCAAAGTATGCATGTGGAACATGTAGCCTTCGATGGGAGCTGTGTAATATCATATCCCGTCATGTTATTAGTATTAGTTATGCGTTTAGTTCCGATATAATAATATTATCGATTATTATTTTTCGGAATTAATTATTTCAGTCGAGATTATCCGAAATTATTTTCGAAGTCACGTTTGCGTTCGGAATAATTTTGGTAATTAAGTATCATGCTTAGTTAAATAATTAAGCATATTAATTGTGCTTAATTAAGGTTAATCATGCTCAAGTATTAAAATGCCGTAGCATTTTGGGTATTTTTTTTAACTAAAATGCCGTGTGCATTTTATCAATATTCAAGGGAAACTTCTTCATTTTTCTTAGCATGAGGTGGCCTCATTTTAGGAGGTCAAGTGATGACTAATTTCTTTATTTCATGACTAAGCACCTTAAGCCTCCACTAATTACATGTGGCACAAGATTAAGAAGCCATCAAGATCTCCACCTCTCCATCTTTCAGTTATCATATATATAGTAGGTGTTAGAGAGAAATTCAGCCATTATATACTCCTAAACTAGTACTAAATAAGTGTGAGTTCCCCTTAGTGAGAGTACGCTTAGTCGCAAGCACGCGGAGAGCCACCGCACGCACGGAGGCGCAACATCCGAGCTAACACGAGAGTTTGCATAATTTATCCGAGCGTTCGAAGATCAGTTTTGTTTAAGTCAAGCTCATGAATTAGTCTCAAGTTACTATCGGTCGAGCAAATTCATGATTTTTGAGCATATTCAGCAGATTGGATCATGTCATGATAGTTCATGTTGTTGCATGTTAAAACGGTCGAGAGAAATCGCCGGACGTCCGGCAAGGGCCGGTCGTGGCTGCGCTGACCGAACACAGCGGCAGCAGCGCACCGGCAGTCAGCCAGCTCGGACAGACAGCGTGCGCGCATGCCTGCGAGGCGTCGCACACAGTCTACCCGCAATTGCAGTCCGCTGGCAGTGCCCAGTGCACGCCAACAGTTCACCGCGCACGCCAGCGCACGTGTTCGTGTGTCAATCGCCTGCTGCTGCGCGCGGTAGCGTTTAACAGGGCCAGTTACGCTCGTGCCCGCGCACACAGCGCGGGGC